CAGAGCTTCCCCTCGGATATAAAGCAACTCCACTTGAAGTGCACAGACTATTTGACTTTAGTAAATCAACCCCAATGAGATGATGCCATGATTTGGGTGGCAAATGTCTGTCCCTGACCCCCCTATTAGGGGTTCCATAGATAGAATCCAAAGCAAAACATGCTAATGGGACAGGTAAGGGTTAATATGGTTGGAGATGCCGGAGGATTGTACTGCCCATGTAGGCTTGGAGTAGAATTTCTAGGCATTCTTGTGTGCTGAGATCACACCTAAAAACTACAACCTCGTGGTTTCTATGTACTGTATATCTAAACCGGAAAACAACGACGTCATATATTACAGCTCAGCAGTCCATGACAACCTCATTCATTGTCTTCTTTCAGGAAAAGTCCATTTTCTGTATCCAACACAGGATGATCCAGATAAAATTCCAGGTTCACTTAACCCCTTGCCTACCAGGCACTTCCACCCCCCTTGCTGCCCAGACCAATTTCCAGCTTTCAGCGCTGTCGCACTTTGGCAATTGTGCGGTCATGCAACACTGTCTCAAAAAATGATAAAATGTCATCTGGGTACATATAGAGCTTTCTTTTGGTGGTATTTAATCACCTCTGGGGGGGTTTATTTTTTGGTAAACAAATGACAAAAGACCAAAAATCCACCCCCCCCCCCCCCCAGATTTTTTTCTTTGTGTAACGGACATGTAAAATTTATTGTAACAGACATGTAAGATTTGAGTGGAAATATGGAATCATAGCCATAACAGGTTGAATAGATTAGATTATGTCAGGCCCTTTCATTGCAAAGGTGTGTGCAGGAACAGTCTGGAAATTAAGGATGTATATTGAGCCCCTGGGCAGTAGAGAAATGAATAGATGGTACAAACAAGGGGTCAACAATTGATCTGGGATACAGATGTGTATGTATACACAATTACTCAATAGGCCTTACAGACTCAATCATCATTTAGCATCAATTAGCATTAATTAGTCTAAAGCCCCGCCTCCTGGAGGTGACACCTTTTGTGTGTCAATCAGGTTATCACTTTCTGGGAAAACAGGTTTGGAGTGAAGGACAGCAGTCAGACTGTCTGCCTTATGTGGAAAGCTCTATAAGTACATCATACATCAAAGAAGGATGTTTCATCTCTCATAAAAGCCAAAATATTAGTTGCAGAGATATGAACATACTCCCTTCTTGTAGGACATTCTGTATGCTGCATTTGCATATGAAAATCATGTTTGTGGCTTGGGGAGAAAGCCAGGAAAATGCAGGAAATGATTAAGGGGCGTGGCATCACGACGGTCAGATGGTGTTTGGTACTGTTGCGATCGGGCTGACGCGTTGGTGTCGGAAATCCAATCCCCGACTTGGTGTTCAGGCCAGTCTTGGCCCAATTGGACTTGGGCAGGTCAGCATCCACAGCACATTTTGGGCAGATGCAGGACCCCCCATGGTCGGTTGGCCAAGGACTAATGTCCCGCCCATCTCCTAATCCCAATAAATTGGGTACACGGACATTTGTGATCCGTACGGAGTTGGTCGATCGACTAGCAGATTGCTGATTTTCTGGCTTGCTCCAGCCGCAGGGTAAAGTGTTATTCTGTCTTTTTATTCCATTTTTATTTTATAGTAATTAGTCATTTGTGTGTCTTCTTATATCTTTTGTATTTTCTGTAACTTTTTATATTTTGTACATATTTTATGCACTGCCCACTTTGGGAAATTAAATCTTAAAATTAATTAGTGAACTTCTGTGTATTTAAGCACGTGCTCATATCTTCGGAGAGACTAGATCGGAGAGATTAGATTGTATTGTATTTTATTGCCTTTAAAACGCTCGGTTAAGCTCATTGCCAATCTGTATGCAATTGCACTGTGTGGGCAGATTGCGTGCAGATTGTAAAAGGTAACAGATCAGCCAGATGGAGATCTGTGTTTGTGTGGTGTCTCAACAGACCATACTGCGGATAAACTGTTGGGTGGTGGCAGGCTACCTTTTGTGGTGTGTCTGGTGTGGGGGTGTGTGGACAGTGGAAGGGTTATCGGGGTTCAAGCTAGGATAGCTGGAGGGACCTTAGAAGGGTGTGTGATTACTAAGCTGGTCCTCAACTCTAATCAGGGCACCAGGTTGTATGTAAGATCATATCTGCCAGTGTGTGGTCGACCAGCTGGATTGGAGTGGAGTCTCCATCTGGTGGTGACCAGAGGTAGTGCGGGCTGTGAAAGTGTGTCCCGGCTGATCTTATATACGGTTTGAGATATTCAAGTGTAAATCCCCTTTATTCCCCCTCTTTACCACCCTGTCGCGGCCGCACGCGTGCGTCACGGTTAGCTAGTCGCTGTGGGCGTGGCGTGTGGTGGACACGTGACAGGGTGATCCTTGACGGATCCTTGACACTTTGTTTTAAAATTTTGCAAACAGGTAATTTTTCACTGATGTGCAGTCTCATTAGTAGTGCACTGCCATGAGACTGCACTGATGGGCACTGATATGGAGCACTGATGGGCACTAATAGGCTGTATTGATGAGGTGGTACTGATGAGGCTCCACTAATAGGCAGCACTGATGAGGTGGTACCGATGAGGTGACACTGATGAGGTGGTACTAATGAGGCTGCACTGATTGGCACTGACAAGGAGGCACTGTTGAGGTTACACTGATGGGCAATGACGAGGCGGCACTGATGAGGCTGCACTGATGAGGAGGCACTGATGAGGCCACACTGATGCGCGCTGACAAGGAGGCACTGATGAGGCTGCACTGATGCGCACTGTTGAGGAGGCACTGATGAGGCTGCACTGATGAGGAGGCACTGATAAGGCCGCACTGGTGAGGAGGCACTGATGAGGCCGCACTGATGTGCACTGACGAGGAGGCACTGATGAGGCTGCGCTGATGTGCACTGACGAGGAGGCACTGATGAGGCTCCACTGATGCGCACTGTTGAGGAGGCACTGATGAGGAGGCACTGATGAGGCCGCACTGATGGGCAATGACGAGGAGGCACTGAGGCTGCACTGATATCTGGCACTGATGGGTGGCACTGAAGGTCACTGATAGATGGCACTGACCAGCAGCACTGATCGACACTGATTAGCAGCACTGATGGACGATGACTGGCGGCACTGATGGACACTGTTGGAACTGCACTGATGTATATATACAATTGCCGATTACCGGCTCTCCTCACACTGTCACAGGTAGGAAAGTGCAGCCAAAAACCGACAACTGTATTTACATTGTGATCAGCTGTGTCATTGGACACATCTGATCACGTGGTAAAAGGACGCAACGATTGGCCCTTTACTATGTCATGTGATCAGCTGTGTCCAAAAGACACAGCGATCCCAGGGCTTGCCGGGTGCACACCCCAGGGGGCGCAGTTCTAGAGGACTTCATATGACGCCCTCCCAGAACTAACCTTCTGTGCACTGAACTGAAATCCCTTAGGGTCCTTTCACACGGACGTTCCATTTTGTTTTCTTCCGTTCGGTCATGTTTTTTTAAAGAAAAAAATGGATGAGTTTACATCCGGTTTGTCATCCATTTACATCCTTTTTTAGTCATCCGCTGTCAGCAGGGTTCCCCACTGACAACTGAATGTGAAAAAAAAAAAAAATTGCCGGCAATTAAAAAGTAATTTAAAAAATGGCGCGGGGTCCCAACCCTCCATCCATACCAAGCCCCTCAGATCTGGTTTGGATATTGAGGGGAACCCCCACGCCAAAATTAAAAAAAAAAAAAAGCGTGGGGTCCCCCCCAAGACCCTTATCCAAGTATGCAGCCTGGCAGGGCAGGAAAGGGGGGGGGGGCGAGCGAGCGGGAGCCCCCCCCCCTCCTGAAGGCCCATACAAGTGCCACATGGGGCCCTCTCAACATCTGGGGGGTGCCCCCAGATCCCAGCCTTCCCCCTATGTGAATGAGTATGGGGTACATGCAGGGGCGGATTGACCATATGGAAACTCAGGCACTGCCCGAGGGCCCGGGGTCAGTAGGGAGCCCCATGAGATGCTCCTGGTACCTTTTTTCATAGGCATTTTTGAGTTTGGGCAAGGACACGGGGGCCCCATGATCCCCTATTGCTCGGGGGCCCCATGAGTTGTCAGTCCGCCCCTGGGAACATGGTACCGCTACCCATTCACAAGAAAAAGTGTAGTGTGAGAAAAGACAGGACACGGCCCCTGACAAGTCCTTTTTTAAAAGAAGAAAAATAAAAGAATGTCCCCTGCAGTAGATCCAACGTCAATCACGATGCCCGCTGCCGCCGCCACCCACAGAAAAGAAAAAAAAAAACAAAGGCTCCTTTTTTCCTTCTTTGGGAGAGTACATGTGATCAGCACAGGGCCAATCAGCACTGTCCAGACAGAGGTCAAGGGCACTGCATCCTCCTAGAGCACAATGAAAACTTTTCCTACAAGCTTTAACCAGTGCTCTGCTGGACACTGATAGAAATCACAAGACTGCTATATACTGCTGATGAGAAAAGGTATTTAGCAGTTTATATTTACTAAAGTAATTGCATTTCCATGTTCTGTGTACTGTGGGAGACCAGATATAGTGAATGCGGGGTCCGGGGAGACCAGATATAGTGAATGCGGGGTCTGGGGAGACCATATATAGTGAATGCGGGGTCCGGGGAGACCAGATATAGTGAATGCAGGGTCTGGGGAGACCATATATAGTGAATGCAGGGTCCGGGGAGACCAGATATAGTGAATGCAGGGTCCAGGGAGAGCGGATATAGTGAATGCGGGGTCCAGGGGGACCGGATATAGTGAATGCAGGGTCCGGGGAGACCATATATAGTGAATGCAGGGTCCGGGGAGACCAGATATAGTGAATGCGGGGTCTGGGGAGACCAGATATAGTGAATGCAGGGTCCGGGGAGACCGGATATAGTGGATGCAGGGTCCGGGGAGACCGGATATAGTGAATGCAGGGTCCAGGGAGACCGGATATAGTGAATGCAGAGTCCGGGGAGACCAGATATAGTGAATGTGGGGTCTGGGGAGACCAGATATAGTGAATGCGGGGTCTGGGGAGACCAGATATAGTGAATGCGGGGTCCGGGGAGAGCGGATATAGTGAATGCAGGGTCCGGGGAGACCAGATATAGTGAATGCAGGGTCCGGGGAGACCGGATATAGTGGATGCAGGGTCCGGGGAGACCGGATATAGTGAATGCGGGGTCCAGGGAGACCGGATATAGTGAATGCAGGGTCCGGGGAGAGCAGATATAGTGAATGCAGGGTCCGGGGAGAGCGGATACAGTGAATGCAGGGTCCGGGGAGAGCAGATATAGTAAATGCAGGGTCCGGGGAGACCAGATATAGTGAATGCAGGGTCTGGGGAGAGCAGATATAGTGAATGCAGGGTCCGGGGAGACCGGATATAGTGAATGCGGGGTCCGGGGAGACCAGATATAGTGAATGCAGGGTCCAGGGAGAGCGGATATAGTGAATGCGGGGTCCGGGGAGAGCGGATATAGTGAATGCAGGGTCCGGGGAGAGCGGATATAGTGAATGCAGGGTCCGGGGAGAGCGGATACAGTGAATGCAGGGTCCGAGGAGAGCGGATATAGTGAATGCGGGGTCCGGGGAGACCGGATATAGTGAATGCTGGGCCCGGGGAGAGCAGATATAGTGAATGCAGGGCCCGGGGAGAGCAGATATAGTGAATGCAGGGTCCGGGGAGAGCGGATATAGTGAATGCGGGGTCCGGGGAGACCGGATATAGTGAATTCAGGGTCCGAGGAGCCAAAACGCAGAGAAAGTCGGTGATATGGTTGTCAATGTCATAGTTCACATCAGTTCTTGCAGTTCCAGTGCGTTCCGGTTGCAGGAAAAAAAGTTGAACAGGCTGCATTTTTCCTGCACAGAACTGTACTGGAACACGGTAAAACACAACAAATATGCACTGGAACACACGTCCCTATTTGAATTGAAGAAGAGAGGAGAAAAAATGCACTAGAATGTGTCAAAAACGCGCATGCAGGAACGCATCTGGACTGTGTTTCTATAGTGTGAACCGGTCCTTTGGGTCAGTTCACACTCCGTGCGTTTCAGTTGCTTTATTTCTGCATCCAAAACGCACAAAAATTAGGTGATATGGTTGTCAATGTCATAGTTCACATCAGTACTTGCAGTTCCAGTGCGTTCCAGTTTCAGAAAAAAAAAGTAGAACAGGCTGCATTTTTTCTGCACAAAACTGCACTGAAACGCATCAAAAACACATTGGAAGGCAATGGAACACAGCTGCGGGGATCGTCGGCTTGCTTTACAACTTACCTTTTCGTGGAGCGGGTCCGGTGTCACCCCGTGCGGTCGGTGTCACCCGGTGCGCACCGCACCCTCCGCACCTGCCTCGGGACGCCGCTGCTTCTGCTATAGGGTGGACAGGAAGCGGTTAATGAAGGGGGGGGGGGGATTTTGAAATGTGGAATTTCCTCTTTTGTCGCCCTTTGGCAAAAAATGGCCTGGCCAGGAAAGTGGGGGGGGGGATAATCCTCTGGAGGGCAAATGGTAATCATCATTTACTATTTTTCTGAATATTACATTGTTACATAGTTAGTCTGGCTGAAAAAAAAGACAAAAGGTAATCCTTGCAATATTGTTATGTGTCGAAATGTTGTGACACCTTAAAAAGTCCTGTTTTCACATATCTCTACAATGTCTTTAATACGAAAAAATCAAAATACACAAAACCTTTTAAAATGATAAAATGGTTATGTAATGATTTGTGATGTTGTCAATGGATACAATGTATCAATAGAGACTATCGATACGATGGTGGACGTAAGGAGTCAGAGGATTATGTAATGTTTGTTGCCAAAACAAAGCCCTTAGCCCCTCCCACACCCATGTGACTATTAAGTCACTCGTTCTGCTATAAAGGCTGAACACTAGTATCAGAGCGAACTCAGAACGAACATCCTACCGAGCAGGAAGGTAAGGCGAGATCGTCTAATTCCTCCTATCCATGTTATATACTGACACGTGGCTGCTTACAATGTAGCTAGCTAGCAGTCACAGTATGCTCCTTACTTTTCATTAGCAGATCTTTGTAGGCAGAGTAGAATAGAATAGAATAGAATAGAACATTTCTTTAATGACTTCATACTTGTTGAGTTGTGACTCGGAAAGTTGTCAATGTTTAGCTGTCGGTCGGTGTATACTTCCGTCAGCATGAGATCTGTTCTCCGAGGTTGGGTAGAACACGTTGACTTTCAATGCGATTTTCACTTATCTTTGAGAAGGAGGTTAAACCCAGCGGACGTTTCTCTTTCGAAAGAATACAGAATCTTGAGCAAGGAGATTAAAATAATAAAATGGATTTTTTGCTTGTACATGATTGGATTAAATAAAATTGTTATTATTATTATACAGGATTTATATAGCACCAACAGTTTGCTCAATATAAAGGGAAATAGGTTTTCAGAGATTGCCTAAAATTTGGCAGAGTAGGCGATAGTTGGATAGATTAGGGTAGAGAGTTCCAGAGGATGGTGGAGGCTCTGGAGAAGTTTGGATTGTGTTTGATGCAGCCAAGTCACTTTTCTTGCAAAAGTAATATTCGCTTCGCTTACTGAATGAGATGAAGTTGTCTTGACTTCCGTCATCCAATCGTGTGTGAGAGATAAAGACAATTTTAATTAGAGTTCATCTAGGATCTTGATGCCCAACCTGTGGCCCAAGGGCCACATGCAGCCCTTTGGTGCTTGCCGAGTGGCCCTCGGACCCCTGCAGTTTGTAGTGGGTTGTTGGGGGGCTGGACTACGGCTAGAAAATGCTAGTTGTAAAATGGATTTTTGCTTGTATATGATTGGACGATTAAACAAAATTGTTATTATTCAGGATTTATATGGAGCCAATAGTTTGCTCAGCGCTTTACAATATAAAGGGAGATAGGTTTTCAGAGATCGCCTAAAAGTGAGCAAAGTAGATGATAGTCTGATAGATTGGGGTAGAGAGTTCCAGAGGATGGGGGAGGCTCTGGAGAAGTTTGGATGTTATTCATTCAGCCAAGTCACTTTTCTTGCAAAGGTAATATTCGCTTCGCCTACTGAATGAGATGAAGTTGTCTTGACTTCCGTCATCCAATCATGTGTGAGAGATAAAGACAATTTTAATTAGAGTTCATCTAGGATCTTGATGCCCAACCTGTGGCCCAAGGGCCACATGCAGCCCTTTGGTGCTTGCCGAGTGGCCCTCGGACCCCTGCAGTTTGTAGTGGGTTGTGGGGGGGCTGGACTACGGCTAGAAAATGGGAAGTATTACACCTTATTCCTTTACCTGTAGACTTACCAACCTCTTGCAGTTGGGGGAACCCATTGCAAAGGTAGTGTTATTTATCAGTCACGAAGTTCAGCTTTGTCACTTTGCCCATTCAAGGCCATTGGCTTACCAATACTTACCTCTCCAGTTACCTTCTCCACTGTTCCTTCCTCCATTGCAATCTGGTGTTGAAGCCTAGAGGGATAAGTGAGGTCTACACCTCTGTCATGGGACAGCGTCTGAGCCTGGAGATTGGCTGCTGGACCCAAACACTGCTTTAAGGGGGAAAGCACATACTCCTCTATACCCCAAAGCACTGAGTATTTTAGGTTGGCTATGAGAGAGGAGGGATTGGTGGTGGGGTCAGTATCAGTGGGTTAGGCAGAATGGCATTAATTGTCAAAGTGGCATTGTCTTTTTAATGTTAGGCACCCTCTAGTGTGCTACTAGAATAGTGTCGAGTATTATAGGTAAAATCATTGTGTGCGACTCATGGTAGTTGTGTGAGTCATGTGATTGAGGTTGGGTTATTGCAGGTCAGCTGGATGACTCACAGGTTGTAGCTCGCCCTGACTCTGGAGGACCAAAGAACCTTCTAAAAGTCAGTAAGAAGGAAGGGGTGGAGGCATAATCTGCATATTCATTCCGGCCAATCCCAGGTTTGGAGGCCCTGATAGCGTGGTGGACTGGCCTATATATATGAGAGAGTCAGACTGACAGTTGGTGTGAAAGATAGAGTGCTGAGGAAACTGTTGGTGCCTAGGAGGGGTCCCCTAGGTCTGGGGGGGCCGGCCTCTAGGCCTGGCACAGGTTGGCTCAGGAGGATACATTCTGCGGCGAGGTGTGGATGGGATCAAGGCCTGGAGCAGCAGGGGAAAAGAGCAAAGAGGAAAGTGAGTACAGCAGCACACTCTGGGATCTACAAGGAGAAAGACTACCACACATAGCTAGCTTTCCAAAGACAGCATTGAGCTAAATCCTTTATCCTTGTCCTGGGAGATCTTCCGAAAAGCCAGGAGGGCTGATAGTGCTTGCATCCTGTGGAGCTGGGAGAAGGTCTGTAGTGGGACAGAAGACGTGTCTGCATGTAGCTACAAGGAGTAAAGTGATTTTTAAGGGGCTGCTAGTTCCTCAACCTTGGAGTGCAGCTGAGAACAAAGGACGTCCGATCAGCTGCACTCCAAACAATCCACTTTGTTGAACCAAGATAAAACCAATATAGACAGTGGAAATACAGTGGGGGACTGGCAAGTAAACGCATTTCACGCTAAAGACAGCTCTTATCCATTACCCACTAAAGGGCAGCTGCTATTGATCCGCCAATGACTAACGGCTTTCAGGAAAAGAAGAGTTCAGGATCTTCTTTGTACATAGGAGGGAAGTGTCCCCCTTCCATTGTTTCAAGCCAAATTGGGCATCCCATAACCCTTATTCCCCATTCATTTTGATTTCCCCTAATAAAATAACAAAACCATGTCCATGGACTGGCCATTGTCTTTGGATCCAAGTTGGTGCGAGAAACACCTGTTACCTGGATGTGCAGAGAGAGGCTTAGGGATACCCACTACACAGCGGCCCTCACGAAGGTAGCGCTTCAAATGTATGGTTGTACTTTTGTGCTAAAGATAAGTTCTCTAACTCCTCTTTCATTGACAATACCCAAGAATAGACCTCAGATGAAGCATAGACCCCACACCCTCCCCACTCCCTTTGGTGGTTACCCCCATTTCCCCCCCACAATTTTGCTCAGGGCACTGGATTATGTAATGAATGGAAGAGTTGAGTTTATGGTTGGAGATATGTGTGGACACAGATGTCCACATTCCTACTATGAACATATATTTTCATGTAGAAGTCCCATTCATTCCTGTTTTTCTTCTCTTTACAGATCATTAAAAACACCCAACAGAGTAATAAAGACATTTTCATCTGTCCAATGAGGGAAATTAAGGTGGAAGCAGACTACCTCCGATTTATCAGTTCTCAGGGCACCGCCAAACCCAGACCAACAATTCTACATGATTTATCAACATCCGGTAAGAACTGGGGAAATGTGGAATCGGTCAAGGAAATTTAAAGCTCAGTTGTAATCCCGGCTTATACAACCTAGGGAAAGTCGGGAAAAATTAAATCTGTAATTATCTTTTTTCTATTTTTGACCTTATAATGCCCCTACACCATCCCAGGCTCCCCCACCCTAGCAGTCTGCTAAAGATGAGGACCTCTGCCCTCTGAGTATGAGCAGCGGACTCTCTGCCGCAGTCACAACTATTGTTGTCCAATCAGTAGGCAGTATGAGCATTGCTGATTGAAGCACAGTAGTTGTCATTGTACACGGGGGTTGGACTGCTGGGGACAGACCACTACTTTGACTTAATAGCACCCCTGAACCCCCTCCCTTAGTTAAAGAAACCTGCCCATAGTTGGCAGAAGCCTTGCTGTCTGTAGTGCCTTATGAGTTCAGCATTGTGTTCAGGTATTCACATTTCATCTGTAATTGTTGCTGCTACAGTGATTGCTGCAGTCTTCCGGTGCTGAGTGGCTGTCCTTCTGTATAGTGACCACAGAGGGTCACCTGCTCGCCACCATTCACAAAATGTTTTATATGTGTTCTCTGACTGGATGAGCTGGAGATTATGACATCAGCACTCCACTTCATCCAATCAGGGAATGGCTTGTATCTACTGAAAAAATAGAAGACGTTTTGTGAATGATAGTAGTGCTTGGCAAGCAAACCCCTGGCAACACTCCATAAAAGGCACTGGACCTGAAAGATTGCGGCGATCAGCGTAGTAGCGGCGACTACTACAAGTGTCACCTTCCCCAGCAGTCCCTCAGGTGTGAGATAGTCATACTTGTATTGTGCCAAGCGGGACCAATGCAAGTATTGAAAGCAAGATTGCACCTAGACCATAACTGGATTGAAGAAATTGGAATTCCAACAGTAGGAGGTGAGTATCTTTTTGCGCTCTGATGAAGTGGGGCCCTTAGAACCCAGGAAATGTGTTGGTGTTTAATGTACACTCACCAGACACTTTATTACATCCACCTTGTTAGTACCGGGTTGGACCCTCTTTTGCCTTCAGAACTGATTTCATTCTTCATGGCACATATCCAACAAGGTGTTGGAAATATTCCTCAGAGATTTCGGTCCATATTGACATGATAGCATCACGCAGTTGCTGCAGGTTTGTCGGCTGCACATCCATGAACTGTTGATACAAGGCAGGATGGATCCATGCTTTCATGTTGTTTACACCAAATTCTGACCCTACCATCTAAATGTTGCAGCTGAAATCCAGACTCATCAGACCAGGCAATGTTTTTCCAATCTTCTATTGTCCAATTTGGTGATCCTGTGTGAATTGTGGCCTCCTTTTTCTATTGTTAGCTGACAGGAGTGGAGCCCGGTGTGGTCTTCTGCTGTTGTAGCCCATCTGCATCAAGGTTTGACGTGTTGTGCTTTCAGAGATGATATCCTGCCTACCTTGGTTGTAACGAGTGGTTATTTGAATTACTGTTGCCTTACTATCATCTGAAACCTGTCTGCCCATTCTGCTCTGACATCAACAAGGCATTTTCCTCCACACCACTGCCACTCACTGGATATTTTCTCTTTTTTGGACCATTCTCTGTAAACCCTAGAGATGGTTGTGCATGAAAATCCCAGTAGATCAGCAGTTTTTGAAATACTCAGACCAGCCCGTCTGGCACCAACAACCATGCCATGTTCAAACTCACTTAAATCCCCTTTCTTCCCCATTCTGATGCTCGGTTTGAACTTCAGTAAGTTGTATTCACCACGTCTAGATGCCTAAATGTATTGAGTTGCTGCCATGTGATTGGCTGATTAACAGTTTGTGTTGCCAAGCAATTGAACAGGTGTACCTAATAAAGTGGCCGGTGAGTGTATATATTGTTAATTGTAAAAATCATTTGGACTTCAACATCTGTCTGGTCTTGTTTTCTGTATCAGTAAAATCCTGACAGAGGTTCTATAACTTCCTGAAAGGAGTATAAACCTCCTAAATGAGGACAGCTGTGAAAAAGTTGATAGAGAAGTCCTTTGTTTCAGAACGAACATACCACACATGGCTTGTTGTATCTCTGAATTGTATATCTGAAGTTTTTTATTTTCTGCTTTGCAGATACCAAGAAACATATCCGTGAGAGGCTTCTTTATATAATATTGGCATTTGCTTTGATCAACATTGTACTCTTCGCTGCGATCTGGACAGTTCTTTCTATCAGAGGTGAGTCCATGTGAAGGACACTGTTATGCAAGGGACATCGCACAATGATATGGGTTGCTGGGACTAATGTATGAATAGCCCTCTAAAATGAAAGTGTTCTCATTGCCCGAAAAACTAAATCAAAATCTTCTTTTAGGGTTTGTTCACATGGGTGGCCAAGGGACAGTAAAAATAGGCAGTTCAGTCGCAGTTCTACTACCCCTTGACTGTCCCTCATAAGCTGCAATAGCGGCCAGTTGGGGTCATACTTGTGCAGCTGGATATATTCCCTATGTCACGATCGGCAGGTACTTATACTGCTGGGATATAAAAAAAAATTATATTTATAACAGGGGCGGACTGACAGCTCATGGGGGCCCCCAGGCAATTGGGGATCATGGGGCCCCTGTGTCCTTGCCCACACTCAAAACACACCCAAAAAAGCCTGTAAAAGGTACCAGAGGCATTTTATGGGGACCCCTACTGACCCCGGGCCCTCGGGCAGTGCCCGAGTGCTCGAATGGTCAGTCCGCCCCTGATTTATAATATATAGTATTTGGAAACCAGAAAGAAAAAAGTGTTTCTGTATACCCTTCAGATTATAGTTGTCTTTCCAAACTTGGGATATGAAAAAGAAAATGCCATTTCTACAGGCAACTCAGAAAAACATTCCCACTTCATAATATGTTTGCCACACGGATGCTAGTTGTAAATTGAACCAAACGTATGTTTGACCTCCAAGATGTGGCTCATTGATGAAATCACCAGCACCAATGTAAGTATTGTGTATTTTCTGATTTCAGGGAAGTGCGACGTCTGCCGAGAGGTCACCTTTGAAGCTCCATGTGAAAATGACTGGATCTGGTACAGAAAGAAATGTTATTATTTCTCCAAGCAATATAATGAGTGGCAAAACAGCCAGGACTTCTGTGTCTCCCACAATGCATCACTCGCCCATATCGATTCCCAGGAAGAGCTGGTGAGTTGATCAATGTGCATATCTGTGTGAATTCTACCTCTCCAGCGCTCCTCTGCTGCAACTTCTTCCTTGGAACCCGCTGCAAAATACCTGGTTCTTCTGGGTATGAGGGAGGATCTGACCTCTAATGCTGGGTCTTTCTGGTTCTAGGGGAGGATAGGACCTCCTCCTATGATGGGTTCTTGTGGGTATAGGGGAGGATCTGACCTCCTCCCTTGATGGGTTCTTCTCAGTATAGTGGAGGAACTGACCCTTCCTTGATAGGTTCTTCTGTTTTTAGGGGATGAACTGACCTCCTCCCATGATGCGTTCTTCTGGGTATAGGGGAGGATGTGTCCTCCCACCACAATAGTTTCTTCTGAATACAGGGGAGGATGTGACCTCCTCCCATGATTGGTTCTTCTGGGTATAGGGGAGGATGCATCCATCTACCATGATGGGTTCTTCTCAGTATAGTGGAGGATGTGTCCTGCCATAATGGGTTCTTCTGGGTATAGGGAAGGATGTTTCCTCCTGCCATGACGGGTTCTTCTGGTTGTTATAGGGGAGGATGTGTCCCACTCCCATGATGGGTTCTTCGGGGTGTAGGGAAGGATATGACCTTCTCCCATGATGGGTCCTTTGGGTATAAGGAAGGATGAGACCTCCAATGATGGGTTCTTATGAGTATAGGGGAGGATGAGACCTCCTTCCATGATGCGTTCTTCTGGATACGGGGAGGGGGAAGTGACCTCCTCCCATGATGGGTTCTTTTTGGTATGGGAGAGGATGTGACTGGAAAAATGTGAGCACAAACCAGCAGGGGAGTGGGAAAGGAGGACAACTGTACATGGCAATTGGCATGGTACAAGGCAACTGTGCCCAGTGTGACTACACCCCTACCTTTCGTGATGTCACTTCCTTCTACTTTCAAACCCTTCCACAAGCAAAATACATTGAGGCCGAGAAAGATCAGGCAAGATGGTGGATGGCAGTTTAAAAATGCAAAATAATCTAAACTACAAAACAAATGAATGCATTCTGTTTTCAGCTTGGGATAGTTCTGCTTTAAGAAGACCTTCAGCCCCTGCTGGTATAAATTGGTTGGCCAACTTTGTCATTAGTACATGTGTAAACCACAGGGACTACAGTTTTTGGGTTGCCAAGATAAACCACCTAAAGCTTTTCGTCATCAATGGAGATCTGCCATTATAGTTTTGTACCTGGTCACCTGGTTTCAATCTGATCAGTTCTGGCATTGCTTGGTCGTGTGGGCAGTAAACGTTATTGGCAGTAGATTGGAGAAGCTGAATGGTGACCTTGTTGTTTGGCATTTAACTAGGTGTAGTAGAGAATCCAATCAAATTGTTCCTCAATGATTGACCCAGGACACACATGCATTACACCCAGTCAGCTAGTGCTTGGTCGTTCTAACATTTAATTTTTTTCCCACCAGGAGTTTCTTCAACGATTTAAAGGCTCGTCCGATCACTGGATTGGTCTGAAGAGAGAAGAAAATGGGGGGCTGTGGACGTGGACAAATGGATCAGTGTTTAATGACACGTAAGTCTGGTTTATATTAAAAGGAAACTTAATTGGTTTTGGGTCAATATTATTTGAAATGATTTCAATATTTTGAATATATATAAAAAAAACAACTAATAATATACAGTATATCCTTAAAGGAAGGAAAAAAATAAAAATAAATAATAAAAATAAATAATAAAAAAAACAAAAGAAAAACAAAACAAAAAATTAAATTAAAAAAAATAAATACATAAAAAAAATAAAAAATAAAAAAAATTATATATATAATATATATATATATATATATATATATATATATATATATATATATATATAAATAAAAAAATTATATATATATAAAAATTATATTTATGTGTGTGTAATATGTAGAGAGAGCCTACCACCTTGCCTATTCCAGACTTCTTTTAAGTCCCTGACCCAGTTATAATTGCTCCCTTACCACTCCTTACATCACAGCTACCACAGAATAACTAGTCCTTCCAGGTATGGAGGACCTCATGTGACCTCTCCCCACTATACAATGTTTGGGTCTAGCAGCCATTTGCTAGGGCTGGGCAGGGTGAGCAATGTGACAGATCCCCTTTAATGCTGGGTTGTCCTATGGCACCGGTGTCAGAGCATTCTCAGCTTACCAAGAAAAGTGCCCACCAAACTGTTTGCTTTCAGTCTGTAATTGAACCACGCAGAGCAGGAAAGGGGTGAGGGGATAAACCACTCATTTTGACTTATACAATTGCATAAGAGCTTGAGTATGTAAACAAAAATCTTTTTTTTCCACAAAGCAGTCAAGATTAGCCTGGTAAATATGAAATGCAGCCTAGGGATTCACCTACAGGCGAAAATAATTACTAGAATAATATTTTTTTAACAATGTATTTATTAGTCCTGAACATAATAAATCCATAAACAGATAAATAAAAATGATAACAAAATATGGGTTTTTTGTCTGTCTCCAACAAGGGGAACAAGGGAACTACAGCTGTGCTCAAACGTTTGCATACCCTGGCAGAAATCATGAAATTTTGGCATTGATACTGAAAATATGACTGATCATGCCAAAAACCTTTTATTCAAGGATAGCAATCATACGAAGCCATTTATTATCACGTAGTTGTTTGGCTCTTTTTTTAAATCATAATAACAGAAATCACCTAAATGGCCCGGATCAAAAGTTTCCCTCCCCTGGAATGTTTGGCCTTGGTGCCAACACACAAGGTGACACACACAGGTTAAAATGGCAATTAAAGGTTAATTTCCCACATCTGTCTGTGTATAGTCAATGAGTTTGTTAGCTCTCATGTGGATGCACTGAGCAGGCTAGATACTGAGCCATGGGGAGCAGAAAAGAACTGTCAAAAGACCTGCGTAACAAGGTAATGGCAGTTTATAAGGATGGAAAAGGATATTAAAAAAATGTCCAAAGCCTTGAATATGCCAATCAGTACTGTTCAATCACTTATTAAGAAGCGGAAAATTCGGGGGATCTCTTGATACCAAGCCATGATGAGGTGAATTAACTCCATTCCGAAGTAAAATAATCGAGCTGTTAGGTAAACGTTCATTTTGGTATGGCAGTGTCCTCACCATCTGTCTTGGTTCTCCTCCAGGTTCCACATTGATGGGGTGTCTCCATGTGTTTTTTTCAATCGGGAGCGGGTCTCCAGCGCAGCCTGTTACTCCGATCGATATTGGATTTGTAACAAGCCGGACCGACAAAATGAAATGGCGATGGGCTTTAGGCTTTGTGCCACTTAAAGCATGACTGACTAATGGGCAACCGCCTTCTTGTACTTCCTAACATCTGGTCATTGAGTGGGAAGACTTCCCACAGGACCACACTTACCAAAAATTGCAAAAATCTATTGACTACTAAAAGACATTGGACTGGCCTTCTCTTATAATGGACACAACTACAACAGGGGCGGACTGACAACTCATGGGGGATCATGGGGCCCCTGTGTCCTTGCCCAAACTCAAAAAAGCCTATGAAAAAGGTACCAGGGGCATCTGATGGGGCCCCCTACTGACCCCCGGGCCCTCGGGCAGTGCCCGAGTTTCCAAATGGTCAGTCCGCCCCTGAACTACAACACATTCTGGTGTTGGCCAATTATTCGTTCACTTGCTAGAATTGGATCTTCAGCATGCTGGAGGATTTCCATTTGACGATTTTCTTATTGCCTGATATTCTTACTTGAATGGTGACATCCATACTGAATGGTCTTCCAACTCTTGCAAAGACTTTGGTTACGTTCCGCATTGCAGATACCACCCGGCCCGTGCGCCCAACTGCAGCCAGTTCTGGGATATGTCAACTTTTATTTGTTCAGCTGTGAATGTTCGATTGATTCTTTTACAATCATTATCTTGTATATTGTTTTACATACTTGCAAAGCGGGATCCTTTGACAGATATTTATTTACTTCAACTTTTTATAAAGATAGTTATTTTTTTTCCTAATTTAACAGCTTATTGTTTTGTATCTGAACTTTTCTCAAATGACAGTAACAGATATGACTCTCATAGACAATAAAAATAGTTAAAGTGGAACTCCAGCTTGTATTTCCCTCCCATTTCTCCTCAACCTTTCCCCCTCCCACCTCCCCAGATGTTTTTTAATTAAAAAAAAAAAAAAAAACACACCCAGTGTGTACCTTTTTTTTTTTTTTTTTTTTTTTTTTTTTCCCTGCAGTCCTCTAGCTGGTCTGATGTTATCAGTGCTACTTCTTCCTCTAGGACTGAGCGCCTACTGGGGTACCTTGAGCATGGCCTGCATGACGATGCGTCCCCTAGAGAAGAGTATAAAGGACAGGCTGGGTTCACAAGACATGAGCAGAATGACCCGAGGAGGAGGAGGTTGGGGACGTTGAAAGAGGATGGAGATGGTAACTGGAGATGAGTAATTTTTTTTTTTTATATGGGGGGGAATCTAAAAATAAAAAATGCAAAAATTAAAAAAAAAAATGGTGTTCTACTTTAAAGTAAGCATGGGGTAGATTCATCACAGGCCAGTAAATGTTGATCTTTTACCAAGGCCACCAGTACACCAGATATATGCAGCTGCTCACAGGATGGAAGGGAAATCTCCAACACTTATCACAGTTGGTCTATCCCTGTGAGCTACGCTGCACTGAAGAGACCCAATGAGGTTGAAATATTTGTGTGATTCTATTTTTTTTCAGTATTATGTATTTATTTTGGAGATACAATTTCTTTATGCAAAAAAGGGACCTGAATGTCTCAATAAGTATAGGGGTTCAGCAAATAATGTACAAAACAATGATGAAAATGACATCAGATTTCGTCATTAGTCTGCATTTGGGTTGGAGTCGTCATCCACATCCGTGCTGTTCTGGAGCATTCCCCTTCTAGAGACCACCTTCGGGTGCAATCTCATTGGTCAGCTTGATGCACATACCCATCCAGACACCTAACTTCAATGTATGTACCCTATTCCAAATGACTTCCTAAAAACATTTCCTGTTGTTTTTTGTGTTATGTATTATTTTTTTCAATATAAGTTATTAATTTATTATTCATTCATAATTTAAAGTACACCAATAAACTGCTTGACCAACTATTTGAGTTGTCTCGTGTATTGCTTCAATGTTTAAAATGTATCTAAACCAAATAACCAAAATGATACATAATGAGCAGCACAGTGGCTAAATGGTTAGCACTTCCGCCTGGCAGTGCTCAGGTCGTTGGTTCAAATCCCAACCACGGCACCACCTGCCTGGAGCTTGCATGTTCTGCCTGTGTGGGTTTCCTCTAGGTACTCCGGTTTCCTCCCACACTCCAAAGACATGCTGGTAGGTGAATTGGCTCCTGTCTAAATTGTCCCTAGTATGTGTATGTATGAATGTGAGTTAGGGACCTTAGATTGTACGCCCCTTGAGGGTCAGGGACTGATGGGAATGTACAATATATATGTAAAGTGCGGAGTAAATTGACGGCGCTATGTAGTAGTTGTAACAAATAAATAATAGTGCAGCTTACCAGTCCTTATGTGTTATGGCTCTATTAGGTTCAGTTCACACCATACAGGTGTGACCGGGCACATTTCCCTCCTCAACATCTCATGTAGGGCAACCCATTCACTTTGGTTTCCAAAAATACACCAAATTGCGTAGCGTTTCAGCACCACACGGTTTGGTGTACGTAAAAACAGCCATGTTTGCAGATGGGCTACCATAAAAGCAGCAAATCCTGTAGCTGCTGACTTTTATTATAAGGACACGTACATGTCCAGGGATTTTTATTATTATACAGGATTTATATGGCGCCAACAGTTTGCTCAGCGCTTTACTATATAAGGGAGACAATACAGCAACAATACAGTTTAGTACAGAAGGAATAGGAGGGATCCAGCCATGTCCTCACCCGAGCCCATTCTTTAATTGGGTGCTGGAACCGGCATCTCAATTATGCTTTGCGGCTTCACAGCCGATTTCCTACTGCGTATGCGCGAAGCGTGCTGTGCTCTGTGAATGGTCCCGCAGGCTTCTGGGACCTGTGGAGTTTTCCAGAAGGCTATAATGGAAGGAGGGGGGACGAAGTTCCGGCTCAGATTGCCGTGGCGCATCTGACCGGAGGTGGGAGCATGTACCTGTCTTTTATTATAAGGACCCGTACCTGTCCAGGGATCCAGCCATGTCCTCACCCGAGCCCATTCTTTAATCGGTTGCTGGAACTGGCATCTCAATTATGCCTTGTGGCTTCACAGCCAACTGCCTACTGCGTATGCATGAAGCGCGCTGTGCTCTGTGAATGGTCCCACAGTCTGCTGGGACCTGTGAAGTTTTCCAAAAGGCTACGATGGAAGGAGCGGGGGGAGGGGGCGAACGTCCGGCTCAGATCGCCGCGGCTCATCTGACCGGAAGTGGGGAGTATGTACCTGTCTTTTATTATAAGGACACGTACCTGTCCAGGGATCCAGCGATGTCCTCACCCAAAAGGGGAGGTTCCACTTGTTTTGTACCCTTCATTGCCACATTTGGCACTTTTTTGAGGGGGGGGGGGGTTCCCTGGTTTTGACAGGTATATGCTCCCACTTCTGGTCACTATGCGCAGAGGTGACCTCGGTCGGAGGTTTGGCCTCTCTTTCCTTCCACCGTAGCCTTCTGAAAAACTTCAAAGGTCCCAAAAGACCGCGGGACCATTCACAGAGCACAGCGCACTTCGCGCATATGCAGCAGGAAGCCGGCCGTGCAGCCACAAGGCATAATTTAGATGTCGTTTCCAGCACCCGACTAAAGAATGGGCTCGGGTGAGGACATCGCTGGATCCCTGGACAGGTACGTGTCCTTATAATAAAAGTCAGCAGCTATAGGATTTGTAACTGATGACTTTAATTTTTTTTGGGGGGGAGCGCAGAGCACCACTTTAAACAATCAATGGCATCACTGTGTGTCTGCTAAAGAACAGCGCGTTTCTGTGCATGTCAGGAAAGTCAGTAATTTTGCGTGAGTTCCCAACACAGCCTATGGCGAAATTCATACGGCAGCTGAAAAGAGGGGGGGAGGTGTTAAAAATAGGCTGCTGATCCCCATTTTTACCACCCCAACTGTGGACATGGCAGCTGCTTATCTCTCCTTGCTATGGCCATAATGCACCAGTTGATGGCGATTTTTATTCAGCAATGCCCCACTATGACGGTTGTGGTGCTGAAGTTCAATGTCGATTGCCCATTGGGATGAGAAAACTGGCATTCAGGAGGCTGCAATTTTACCTCCTGATTGCCTGTAAACTGCAAAAAAGCAATCCACCACTGATCGCTTTTTTTTTGGGGGGGTAGAGCCTGTCACTCATGTAAGATGACAACAAACAACACCCTCCTCCTTTTCTCATATCCACACCATGAGGGGAAGGTGTTCTGTAGTTTACAGAGAAAACTGGAAACAATATAAATATAACTGACAAGAATTTATTTTTTTCATTTATCAAACAGATATAACTAAATGCTTTCAGTGTTATATTTAACTGACCAAAAGGGAACAAATCAAAGAAGTTTGTTGTTAGGGTTTACATACATGTGTATGCATAAAACATCTGCATAACAATCTGCCCAGTAATTGTGTGTACATTATGTCTGTGCAAATGGGGCAAAAAAGTGGATGTTATTAGGCCATTTCCTGTGCTGGATGAATGTGTTACATTGCTTTAAAATGGAAAATAATGCATTTGGGAACTAGATGGTGCTTGGTATTAGTGACTCAGCTCTTCCCACTTCTACCTCCGGCAGTAACTCAGCTCTCCCCTGCTTCCCCCTCCAGCAGTGACTCAGCTCTTCCCACTTCTACCTCCGGCAGTAACTCAGCTCACCCTGCTTCCCCCACCAGCAGTGACTCAGCTCTCCCCGCTTCCCCCTCCAGCAGTGACTCAGCTCTCCCCGATTCCCACTCCAGCAGTGACTCAGCTCTCCCCGCTTCCCCCTCCAACAGTGACTCAGCTCTCCCTGCTTCCCACTCCAGCAGTGACTCAGCTCTCCCTGCTTCCCCCCCTCCAACAGTGACTCAGCTGTCCCTGCTTCCCACTCTAGCAGTGACTCAGCTCTCCCTGCTTCCCCCTCCAACAGTGACTGAGCTCTCCCTGCTTCCTCCTCCAGCAGTGACTGAGGTCTCCCTGCTTCCTCCTCCAGCAGTGACTGAGGTCTCCCTGCTTCCTCCTCC